CTTCCTGAGTGCTGGGATTACAGAGTTGCACTACCATGCTTGACCCAAAATTTTTAAAATAAAAAAAATCTAACTTTAGAGAAAAATTGATTTAAAGTAACATCAAAACATTGGTCAAAATTGAAAACTTTTAGTCTTCAATACATTTCTCCTAGTGAGAAAATATAAAACATAGACTGGAAGGAGCTGACATAGGATGTGTGTAACATATAGCTGCTATATGTTAATAGAGAATATAAATGCTCAATTAAACAGAGGTAAAGGTGTTGCATAAAAACTTCACAGAGGAAGAGAAAGACCCGTACACTAAGGGCAGGAGTTCATCAGGAGAACCCACATCAGCTGTGATGAGATGCAGCTGCACAGGCACTGAATTTAGGGGACAAGTAACATTGAACAAGCCAAGCAAGGGGCATAACTATCACCTCTGGTCCTCAGGAGGCCAGTGGGAGAACACTGGGGAAAATAGGAGGGCATTTCTGATGGTGCTAAGTGTAAGAGCCCCGTGTGACACACTAGTACCGTTCGTGGCAGCCTTGGTCCCGAGAGCTGAGTATGGGAGAGTCCGAGGGCCCATCGTCTGATGACTGGTGGACAGGATGGAGCTCAGCCGGGCCATAGAGATCCAGCCACCACCACGGCACAGCCTCCTAATGCCGCCACACGGCAGACACGTTTGGAAGAGGTCGTACTGTGTGACACTTGTATGCAAATTTAGAAAGCAAATCATATTTCCTTGGAGCTAGCGGGGAGGCTGTTTGACCCATGAAGGGCAGAGCAGAGCTTGGCTGGATGGAAGTAGATTTGGCCCTTGGCACCCGGCGGTGTTGGCTCCGGGACCACTGCATAGAATAAAACTCACAGGTGCTCAAGTTTCTTGTTTAAAATGGCTTAGTATTTGCACAGAATTCACACAATCCTCCCATTTACTTTAAATTACCTTGCAATTATGTACAATACCTAATACAATATAAAGTCTATATAGATAGTTGTTATGCTGAATTGTCTAGGGAAGTTTTTTTTTTTTTTTTTTTTTTTTTTTTTTTTGGTACCAGTGTTTGAACTCAGCCTTGCACTTGTGAGGCAGGCAGTGGCACCACTGAGCTAAATCCCCGGCCCTGTTTAGGGAATAGTGATGAGGGAAATGAGTCTGTACACATTCAGTATAGGAGCAATTAAAATATTTCTGCTCCGTGATTAGTTGGATACATAGGCGTGAAATCCACAGATACAAAGGCGTGACTGTTCAATGTTAAGTTGTCACAGGCGTTAGTCATGTGGACGTACTTTTCAGAAAATGACTAAACCAATGTAGTTGTAAAATAGGTAACATTTTATTGCCCACTTCATACCTCTATGAAGCTGATAGAAAAATAAATGATGTGACATTTCGGTTGAAAGCAACAGGATGTTAACATGAGTGCTAGGCTAGCGGCAGGAGCAGGATTCTTAGGAACCACACTGAAAAGAATAGTGCAGAATCACGATGGAAACCGTGTCCTTTCAATTTTAGAGAAAGGAAAGAAAAACAAGGGACTTGTGCAGTCCTTCGGCAGCGTTAGGGTGGGAACGATCCCGGCTGAAACCTAGAGCAGGGGACCAGCCGCAGACGCTTTTCCCAGCTGAGAGGCATGGAGTTTGTGTGGAGAGACAAGTTAAAGGGGCAGAAGGCCAGACGGGTTCTCCTTTGACATCTATGTCTTTAACATAAGGACTATGCTGGTGAAAATACGTGCGTGTGGTGGTGGTGGGTGGTTAAAATTGATGAGGGACCCAAGCCTAAGATAAACTCACAAAATCTTGAAAGTCTTGAGACGTCCAGAAAAACAAGAGCCCCACTGCCTTGGACATCTGCTGTGGAACACTGGCACATCTGGAGGGAAGACGTCGAACACATATTTCTAGCTCGTTAGAGAAATTCTATTGTAACTTGTAATAAAGAGGTGTCCAGTTTAGAAATTTTATTCAGGCTGTCCAAATTGGTTTATGTGGCTCATTAGTTCTCAGTTTCCTTACAGCGCTCACCTGTGCCCTCTTTCTGCCCCCCGTCCCATCTCTTCATGCATTTTTGACCACCTTTATCCTTCGTTGCATTTCATAAATGTGCCCCGTCGGCCCGAGTTCTTCACTGCCCTGACTTGAGCTCCACGGAACCGGTAACCGGTAACCTCAAGAGAAGCGCTTTTGGCTGCGAGTAGAAGAATATTCAACTATAGTCATGGCTCAGACCCACTGCGGTGCTTGTCGGGGGCGGGGGGTGGGCAGCTGCTGGCGCGGGCCAGGTTCCCTGGGCTCCATTCTCCTGCCGCACATCATGAAGTGCGTGGAAGAAGGTGAAGGAATGAGGACCTCCTGGTTATCAAGGTTCTACTTCGTGCATTGTATGCCCCAGGTTCTTAGAACGGTGCCCGGAACATAGTGCTTCGTGTTGCCGTGCATACCTGCGCGGTTACCCTCACGTGTAGACATTTATCTGCAGGTGTGCACACGTGTGCATTTGTGCTTGTATTTGTACATTTCCACTCCTTTATTTTAGATCGTCCAGTAGTTCTCCTGCCCGTACTGTCACTCAGAGCTGGACCAGATGCCTGGCTTTGGATGAATCATTTGCCCGGGAGGCTGAAGTCTCTGTGACTGATTTAGACCAATTATGATTCAGCCCCTGGGGAGGGCGCAGGGCAGCAGCGGTGAACATTTTAGAGCTTTTAAGGATACAAACAGCCCCCTGCAGCATGCATGTCATGGGTTTGCTGTCACTGGTGTAGGGTAAACCTCCCTTCGGGTCAGGGACTTCAACTCTCTGAGCGAAATGAAATGAAGAACAGGGTTAGCAAAGAGCAAGATCTGCTCTATACCAATGAGGTCCGTGCTGTCTGTCTGTCTGCCTGTCCATCCACCCACATAAGATGTCAGTCCAACTGCTTTTCCTTAGTAGGGTGCGTCTAGAGAGAGGCAGGTCACTTTGCTCGAAGGTTGGTTTAAATTTGCTCATTTGTTCAATGAGTGCTGTGTACTTGTGGTCTGTCAAGAACTAAGGACACAGCTGAGGTAATAAATAGACAAATCAGGTAATTTCAGGTGCTTCTCATGAGTGCTGAGAAAGGAGGGAACAGGGTGGTGGTTTAGACTGACTGGCTGTTCTGGTGTTGGCCAGAGGACAGGCCTTCTCTCTGGGGTGTTGTTTGAGCGGCAGGGAAGGTGGAAGTGGGGGAGGGAGGTTCTGGAGAGGGGCAGGCTGTCTAAAGAGCCCTTGGGGAGTAGCCTGCAGGGCAAGGTGTGGTTCACAGTGTGGGCAGTGGAAAGGAGGAGCGAAATCAGAGTCTGCGTTCAGTTTACACTCCAAGGGCACCCAGTGGTGCTGCCTTACCTGCGACACCACTTTGTGAGAGTGTCAGGAAAAAACAGCCCGAACTCAAGCCTCTGTGGCTTTTTATCGCTAGAGCTGGGAAGCAAGGGTAAAGGACGAAGAAAGGACACCATGTGGGAATTTATGTGGGGGCCTGGGGTAGGACAGCGAAGGCCGGGTGCTCTGCTACACGGCTGACCCGAGGGCCAGTGTAAGTGATAAATCAGAGATGGCCGGAGGATGCGTTTCCACTCTCCTTGTACTGTGTGATCTCTAACCACGCACCGCAGGAGGTTGGGGTGTGGCTCCCAAGACCCCTCATCTCAGCACTGCTCCTCAGGTGCCTCTGGCCACGCCCTCACAGCAGGTGGGCCCCCTGAACTGGTTCCTTAGGTGATCAAGGTGCTCATGGTTTTTGGACAACCGGGCCTTCTCATGCCCCACCCTTTAGAGAGAGCGCTCAGCCTGTCTCTGCGCCTTTCTCCTCTCTCTGGAGTTGCTGCAGGATGCGCAGATTTGCTAGACAACTTGGGGATTGAGCCTGAGGTCTGTTTTCTCTCTGTGACTCAGTGGTCAGGGCTGCTCTCTTCTCCTGCTTAGGGAGGGGACAGAAGATTCTACATTTGCAAGCTCAGTTTCTTATGAGGAGTCACGAAGGACAAAGTGGAAGACTTAACTGGAGGGACAGCTGACACTCACGTATCAGCATGATTTACGTTTTTACAGAAGAAGTAAACACGTCGGATGGAGCCTCAAGGAGAACTGGGCTGGGAAGGCAGGGGCGTCAGTCTGGGGACTTCTCTACAAGCTCATAGCTAAGTCATGATACGAATGAATTCCTTAAATTTTGGCTTTTATGGAGGAGAAAGTGGGAGCTACATATACACAGCCAACAAACATCATGTAATGCAGACTTTGTTCATTGATTTGAGGAAGAGCTTTGCAAATGGAGGAGTTCTTGTGGGAACAGTACTTAGAGACCCATTAGGACATTTTTATACCAGAGGATAATGGTGTCAGAACTAAATGGTCCTAGGTTCAAGGCATTGTACATTGAGATGAGTCTAATCAGTGGATCTATTAGTAAGTCTATCAATTGACCCACCTATTCACCCACCAGTGCTTTTTCAGCATTTGTTGTTCTTGCTTGTGTTCTAAGGCAAGATGCAAATGAACTAAACAGATAAGGTTCCTTCATCTGCAGGAGGAGCTAAGACAACCCATAAATCAGTAGATTTATTTCAGACAGACACAGGCTCAGAAGGAAAAAAACAAAACAAAACAGGGTGATGTGGTGGACAGTGTCAGATTCTTGGATAGGATGCTGAGAAGATAAGTAGAATGAATCCCATTTTAACATGTTAAAGTTGAGTCTTTGAGAAAACAAGTCCCTTTCTCCATTCTGCTTGGTTAGTGGAAAGCCCAGAATTCCAGGTCAAGAATGATCCCAAATCTTCCCTTTACCATAATGCCATACTTTAGGTGTAAGATTTGAACATGAAGTATACCCAACCTCTTATTAAAATAAGCCATAAGAAAAATGTCCCAGCAGAAATATTTATTTTATTTTTTATTTTTGGTACCAGGGATGGAACTCCGGACTTTGCACTTGTGAGGCAGGCAGTGGCACCACTGAACTAAATCCCTGGCCAGAAATATTTATTTTAGAAGACAGAAAAGTGTGGGTTCTTTCCTTGCGGAGATTTCTGCATCCAGCTCTGTGACCCTGAAGAAGTCTGATGGCTTCTCCGAGTCTCAGCTTCTTTCTCTGTATGATGGGAGTGCTTGTACCCTCCTGCTTATCTCCCAGGATGCTGTGAATCTGTTGACACACAGGTGATTTGAATGTCACTGTGTGCTGTGGAAGCACAGTTACCTTCGGGGGAGGGAGAAGAGCACAGATGTTGGCAGATCTAATTAGGAGAGGAAATTGTTAAGAGTCAGTTGTGCTCATAGGTGTCATGGCATTGGGTCTCTATTATGTGCAGGAATATTAAGGTTACCCCTAATTGAGACTGACATCCTTTATTAATCTTCTGGAGTTGCTACAACAAAATGCTATAAATTGAGGTAGGTTAAGCAACAGAAATTTCTTTCTCACAGGTTGGGAAGGCCAAAACCAAGGTTGGCTTTTCTGTGAGGAGTCTTTTCTTGGCTTGTGACGGTCCCCATCTTGCTGTATGTTTTTATGAGCACTTCTATGGGCTGTGGCAGGGGAGTGAACCCTAATCCCACCCATGGTCCCTCACTGATGACCTTATGTAGTCCTAAGGAGTCCCAGCTCTAAAGGAAGCTTCCTCAAGGAGTTAAGAGTTTCAACACAGGAACATTTTTGTGACGAGGGTGTCAAATATTTATATGCACTAGTGATTCCATTACAATTAGGTAGCAACTAAATTTGGCCCAGTCCTTGTGAAGATGGTTTCCAAGTCTACCTGAAAATTACAGGACAGGAACATCTGGTTGGTTCTTTCAGTGAGGAGCCACCGGAGGCACAGACCTAAATTGGAGTCCAGCCCCTTGGCTTCCTGGGCTTTGGTTTCTTCACCACAAACTGAACAAGAGTCCTGGGTCACGAGCGGTGGTGAGGGTGTCACTTGGGCCTGTCAAGGGCTTTGGGTTAGGGTGTGTGGTTACAGACAGCCTGGTCTGATTGGTCTAGCTGGGGTCATGTGCTGAACCTTGAGCCAATCACTGGGGCCAGAGGAAGACTAGCTGCTGATTGGCTATTGGCCTGTGTTCCCCGGATGAACTTCTGCAGCTATGGGGTAGAGTGAGTAGAGAACGTGGAGGGTGAGTCCTTGCTCTCAGGGCGTGGCACCTGTCTTACCTGACCTTGGGTATTTGGGTACTGTAGCCGGTGTCCATTTTCCTGTAATATTGTCAATTTACCCTCTTGCTGCTTTTTTGGGGCCTTTATGACCCTTCAAAAATAATTTCCAGCATCTGTAGTGACAAATCAGAGTAGGAATTAGCTAAACTGCACCAGTGGCCTGTTCACTCTCTAAATGACTGGATTGGTGACTGTCCCTTTGCCGAGGCCATGGTTCACCTGCCTTCCCAATATCCAGCACAACTCCCTAATTGAGGTGTTGTGTGGATGTAGCTTTTATCCTTTGTCTAGTAACAGGATTAGCTCAATTCAAATATTCAACGGTGCTTGTCTGCCCTTTCTCCTGCCCAAAAGAGGTTTAGAGGAGTTTGTTCTTGGGAGTCACAAACCAGAAGGAAGTGGCCGAGCACGTGAATGTTGTCATTTCCTCCTGAGGGGGAGGTGGACGAGCCTGCAGCCGCCCTCACCCACACATCGGCTGCCCCCCGCCGTACAGGGCCTGCTCAGAGAGGTATAAACCGATGGCCTCCAGTCTCCTGTTCATTCAGACTCCAGGTCCCCCCTCCCGCCCACCCCAGGGAAATGTGTGCGGCTGATGAGGTTGGAGGGGACAACTCCCTGGGAACAGCTAAATGGACACTCCTCTCCTGGGAATGGCCAACTATGCTTCCTGGGTTGATTCTTTGGAAGCCAAGCAATGAAACCTCTTCAATGTTCTAGTGTGTACTGAGGAGTGAACGTTGTTATTCCTGTACATAAAGAAGGAGGTGTGGGCTATAGGAAGTGGCTTCTTTTGCAAGTTAAAATTTGCATCTGTTATGAAGCTATGAAAACTCCTCAGTATTTCCCCTAAAGTAGTTAGGGATTTATTTTTTAAAGAATGAGAGAGATTGAGCTTTTCTCTCAATGCAGGTGAGAGCCAAACTTTGTTGTTGTATTTCCAGCGACATAAAGACAAAGTCCTTAAGGATGTTTTGTGCCTTAATTCATCTATTACTGAAAAATGAGCCCAAATAGTGGTTCTCCAAAAGACCCGCCCAAGTTCTAAACCCACCTGTTACTGTGACCTAATTGAGAATAAATGGTTGGCTTAGTAGCTAGGATTTCAAGAAGATACTGATAAAATGGAATACTACTCAGCCATAAAGAATGAGAAAACAGAGTCATTCATAGGAAAATGGATGGATATTGAGATTATGCTCTTAAGTGAAATAAGTCACACATGTAAATACCAAATAGTTTCTCTGGTGTGAAAAACTATAATTGTAAATAAGATCCTAGTGGTGTAATTGACAAGTGTAATAGGAAGAAAAGGGCTAAAGATGTAGGGGAAGTGGGAAGGGTAGGGGAAAGGAAATAAGGGAAAAGAAAAAAATATGAGAAAATGAAAAAATGGAAATAAAGTATTTGTAAATAGGGAAGGGATGAGGGGGTGCAGGGAGGGCAGCGGTATGGGGAAAAAATGAGAACCAGGACCTGTCATGTAAAGGTACAAGAGCCCAATGATGGATGTAACTGTACTGTATACTTTAAAAGTACCAATGAACTCAATGAGAAAAAAAAAAAAAAAAGAAAAGAAGATACCATACTGGGCGTAAGATTGGGTCTGAATCCGATAACTGTGTGACCCCCTCCCCCACCATGAGAAAAAGGAGGCTGAAAACTTGCACAGGAGAAGGGCAGACTGGAAGCCGAGGCGGGGGCGGAGGTTACAGTGATGCTTCCACAAGCCAAGGGCTGTAGGATACCGTGCAGAGCAAGGAGAGGTTTTTCTCTCGAGTTTTGTGAGGGAGTGAGGCCTGGCAGAGCTCCGATTTCAGACTTGGCCTCCAGAACTGTGAAAAACTAAGTTTCTTTGAGCCACTAAATCTGTGGTGACTGTATTATGGCAGCCCTGGAAAACTAGTACAAGCCCACTTGTGTGCTTCAAGACCTCAAAGAAGGAATTGGTACAATACAGCTGTGAGGACAAAAATAGATTTGCACCAGCAGTGTCATTAATTTGAGTCTTGGAACAGTTTTCTGAGATACTAGGGCAACACCACAGAGTAACTCTGAGTTATATTATAGCAAACCACTTGCTTTATAGGTTAATCTTAATATTTATGTTTAGTAAGGAAAAAGATGCTGAATAATTTATCACACAGATTGGAAAGAATGACTTCAATACCGACATCACACATCTGCTCTTGGCAGGCTCAATGTGGAGAAAAAGAAAGAATAAATGCATAATTTCCATAGAGTTCTGCTTCTTGCAGCTTTCTCAAGACAGAAATTCTAAAATGCTTTGAATGGGGGAAAAGGGGCAGTTTTCTTTCAGGTACACCCGTTAGGAGATGCAGCCTTCTTTTCTTTACAGATGGATTTTTTTTCATAAAAGTTTCTTAATTGGACAAGCTCTTCTGAAGTGACTTTTGGTTTTTGAAAGGGATATGATGGGTGCAGGATGAAAGAGCTCAGGGAACTGTTTGTGCCTTGTCTTTTCCAGGAGGTAATATCCTGCTTTACCCTCCTCCCCCAGTTCATCTGCATTTAGTGCTTTTCTGCGTGGGCTCTGAGCTCTGTGGGTTTTGGTATTTATTAACTTGTTCAAACAGGTCTGTGCTAGCTAGAGGGCAAGCATTCCACAGTGTACCCCAGAACACAGCCAAAAGACAGCCATCCAAACTCGGATGGGTTCTCGGTTCACTGAGAGGGGGTATTCACCAAGCACTGTGGGGCCACATGTGAGCACACTGTTCATTCTGCCTGGGAGAAAATGTCAATGGGTTAGGGGACTTCACATGGAAGGCGACAAGTTGACCAGTCTTGAAGTAAGCTTGGAGGTTTTGCATGAAGAGAAACCAATCAGTGGCTAACCCTTCCCAGTAGACGTTTGTGGGGCCCAGCAGTAGTGTTGCTGGCGTATGAAATGCTTTAGTTAATATGCATTGCTTTCGGAGGCACAGGTAGGGTTGCTGACTTCCCCTTTCCTATGCGGAAGGTGGGGCAAAGGAGGTGGCCGACCGAGGGCCTCAGCTCAGCCATGGGCTGATGCATGGCTCTTCTCGGCAGAAGAGGCATTGTGGGAAAAGACAGGTGCACGCGGGAGTTCTGGAAAGTGTGTGAACTGGACCTTCTTGGTGGCAGTCAGCAGTGCTTTGCCACAGGGAAGGGCTGAGTTCTCAGCACCTCAGCTTCTCCACTAAGGAGGACCGGAGCAGACTCTGTGGGTCCATGCACAGGGCCTTCCCCTCCCCTTCACTTCCTTCTCCATCTTTCTCCTGCTTCCCTTTCTTTTCTTGCTGACAAATAGTTACTAAATGGCAGAGCCTGAGGAAATGGAAAGGAACAATCAGAAACCAGTGCCTAATGTTCTTGTGTCTCCTGAGGAATAATTTACGTACAGTAAAATGCACCAGTTGTATAGTTCAGCATGTTTTATGGCAGGTGGACCTGTTCTGGCATCAGTTCATGGGTGGAAGGGAGTCTGAGTTCATTTAGTGGATGAAAAGTAACTAGGTCTTAATTTCCAAGTTGGGGAAAATCCAGTTACCTTAGGGCCATACGGAGACTTAGTGCAGAACAGGAAGTAGCTGAGAAAGATGCTGTTTTTGAAGATTCACGGCATGTAAAAAGCTCAGCATCCTCTCTGGCATGGAGTACCTCGTGATGTTCAGGTACTGAAACTGTAGTATTCCAATAAGCAAAAGTGCACCATGGTTAAGACTTTCTGGGTTTTGGTACTAGGTCCAACATGTGATAATACAAACCTGGGTAAGATTTTCCTGACTGTATTCTCATTTGTAGGTTGGGAATGATAAGTTTCTACCCATAGATTTGTGATGAGAATCAAATGAATGAAATAGGTAGGTATAAATAATTCCCACACTTCACAAGTATTCAACCAATGTTTCCCAATCTTAGTTCTTTCCCATGTGTATATACATCCACACTTGAGGGTTTGCCAGACAGGTCTTTGTAGATGTCGTGTGTCCCATCAGGAAGCCTCAGTGGACAGGATGTTGTTGAGAATTCTGAGGGGCGTCAGCCAAAGGTCCCTGCGCTGTGACCGTCGGCTACAGCAGAAGTGACAGGATGCAGTGGTCAGTGGGCTGGATAGGGACAGGTGAGTCCCACCGTGGAGACACAGAGGCTCTCTGGCTTATTTACAGCCAAAGCCCCATTCACCTCTTTTGTGCTCCTTTCTTCCTGCCTGGCAGTGCTGACTCTGCATTTCTGTCTGCTTCCCTCCATTTCCCTTTGTTCCTCTGCCCTTTTCTTGCTCTTCCTCTCCACCCGCCCAGGGGGCCCCTCCGAAGGCCTGGACACCAGCGGGACCCTCCACTGCGAGGCACTGCTCAAGACACCGGCATGTTCGCAGTAACTACACAAGAGGGTATATTCACATTTAAATAAAGTTATCATTATGGGCTCGGGTCTCAGTAGCGCCGAATTTCCTCAGTGGCTCCATCAACCCATGTTTGCGATTTTAATTGAGTGGATGTCATCTGCTTGCTAGTCCTGTGGCAACCGGAAGTTGTTAAATTTTAATTTACCTCAAGCTGAATGAGACGTTTTTTCAGACAACAAAGAAACATTCTTAACACGTTACAGCAGTAATTAAAGGAGTGCTAATAGGTAAAGGGAAGAATTAGACAAAACACACATAATTATCACTCAGCCTTACAGCTCACCTGTGTAGAAAGACCCACCGGAAGTGGCGGAGGCAGCTGGAGTGAGAGCACTGGGCAGGACCGGAAGTAGATCCCGCGCGCGCACTTTGCCTCTCTCAGCCTCTTACACATCCTCTCTGTCGCTCTTTGTGTGCCCCCCAGCTTCAGCATTCTCTTTCTCTGTACCTAGCTCTGTTCAGGCTGGTGTGTTTTCTTTGTCCTCCAGCTCGCATTGTCTGTGTTCTGCGTGAGCTGCATACCTGTCTCTGTCAGTCTCCCTCTCCCCACCCTCACTGCGCAGGGCCCTGGCCTCTTCCTCCTCTGCTCTTCCCTCTAGCGGGTAACGAGGGCTCCTTCCCCCTTGCAGTGCGTGAAAGACACCCGATCTCTTTAGCCTCTTCAGGTGGCGCCTGGGACGCTGCGAGCGAATGGAGTATCATAGTTTCACTTTGCCTGTTTTTTTCTATCAAATATAGAGATGGAGCCTTGGATGGAATTCACTCCATTTTCCATACTTTTTGTTTTTAAATTTTTAAATTCATGTTTGCAGCATACACTATTTACATGCTTTGTGCATTTTGTGCATGGACATAACACCTTAATCCTTCTGGATCCCTTCCCCCCTCACCCCGCCTCCATATCTTGGCCCCCTTCCCTTCTGAGATAGATCTGTATCCCTCCTTCCTATTCCCTGAGGCACCAACAGGTGACTCCAGTGTCAGTTGTCTCCTTGACCGTGAGATTCCCTCCAAGTGCTCTGGAGCCTGGGGAGGAGCATGTGCTTTGGAGTTGGGCAGACGACCAGGTAGGCGATCTTCATCCGTCACTTCCTCTGAGTCTTAGTTTCCTTTTAAAATGGTGTCACGATGGCACCTTCTCTGGGTTCCTCTTTGGTTGTCCCTTTTGTCTGTGTCCCTCTGGGCTGCTTTGCTTGTATCTATCACCTGCCTCCCCGGTGCCCATTTGTGTCTCCAGGATCTACCAGGCTGTCCCCCATCACTTAGTGATATCATGATGATTTGTTTCTTTCAAAGGCACCTTCTGATCCTTGGGAAGCTGATATGGCTGGACTTTGGGGAAGAGAGTGTTACTGCTTCAGGGTCAGCTAGGGTGCTGGTGGCCCTGGCCAGGGCTCTTGACTCTTAGTTCAGGGTCCACTATGTAGACCTGTCCTTCCCTCCTTGCTTTTAGGAATAGAGCCCTCCAGGGAAGGGTACAGAATCTGTTGTCCAAGCCTAGGTGAGAGTGAGACATCTGAGCAGCTGAGGACACCTGCCCCTCTGGTGTTACTTTGTTTTATTTTGCTTTTTTTTGGTACTGGGGATCAAACTTGGGCCCTTGTGCTTGTGAGGCAGGCAGCAACACCACTGAGCCAACTCCCCGGCCCGTGGGGTGTTAACTTTGGACAGTGTAGTCCCTGTAGGTTGTCTTCCTCCTGAGACTCGAGCAGGGGCATAGGAACCTTCAGAGCTCTTTGGGTTAAGACTTCTCTGGGGGGCGAGTAAGAGACCCAGCAGGACTGGTGTAATCACGGAGTGGAGTTCTGTATAAGAGCATGGTGTGTCCTGGAATCCGGTGGCAAGGAAGGGGCAGGATGTGAGGGATGACCTGGAACTAGCCTTGGAGCTCTGTGCAGTTTCTGATCTACGTCTCACCTCCACCTCTCTCTGCCTGCCACTCTGTCGGCAGAAAACGCTCAGCCATTGCTTCTTAGATCATGTATCTTCCTATCTGGAATGAAGTCAACAGGGGCTGGAGTTTCTTAATCCCCTTTTATTTTTTAAAAGGCAAGCACAGGATGGGCGTGGGTTATTCATATCTGAACCAATCAGTGGTGACGGGTAGTGGGCAAGCTCATGTTGCAGAAGATGGCGGCCTGGCACCTTGTCACCATTGCCATGGTGATGGAGGGGAGGAGGGAAGTTTAGAGCGAATGGTCTTCACATCACTGCTAGATGGCTTAACCCACTCTTAGCATTTCAGATCTTGCTGTGCCCAGGCAGTGTGGGAGGGAATGGGGAAAAAAGGGAGAAATGTCCTGGGTCGGTGGAGTCCACAGTGTCAGGCTTTAAATGGCTCAGTTCCCACTTCCTGAAACTCTGCACCTGTTTGCACCTGCTGTGCTGACAGCCAGCTTCCCCGCTGGTCTGGAGGGCATCGTTACCACCTCATACTCTTGGCCCTGGGGGAAGAGCTCAGCCTGAGCGCTGGAGGCTGGAGGAAGCCCCCTGTCCCTGCAGCAGCTGATGGAGCCATCACAACAGCTCTTCACCAGAGCTGCATCTTGACTCTCTGAGTGCCGTGCTATTTGAAATAACTCAGTGTTATTCAAAACTTATAAAAAGCTGGATTTTGAAGCCTCTTACCACTTTGTGGATAATGAATTATCAGTCTAAAAATAGCCATCAAGTGTCAGGAAGGGAGCTTGGCTGGTTTTGGAGTTATGTAATGCACAACAGTGAGATTAAAAATCATTATTTAAATTGGCATCCACATTCTCGCCTGCCCCTGAGTGAAGCATTTACATCTGTCCTGCGGCTTTGAAAACAAGAAGCCAAAATAGCTGAGAGCAGAATGTTGTCAGAACTGGAAACTCACTCCGAGGTGACATTCTTGTATTAGAGTCTAGGGTGCTGGCTGTGAACCTGTGGCTCCCAGGGCTTCTATCCTGCGTCTGAAGGAAGTGGTGGTCAAGCCCCGGCACTGTGATGCTGGCCTCAGCGGCTGGAGGGGAGGCCACGCAATGGCTTGACTCGGGCTTTGAGGCTACCGGGCTGATTCTCCTAAAAATTAAGATTCATATCTATCTAACATCTTCTTAAAGGTTTTAAAAGTGGGGGTCTCTCCAAACATATCTTTGATCCTCAGGGCTTCTTTTTTGAGTCAGGCAGAGGGAGGGACAACGAAGAACGGTGCACTGGTGCAGAGCTGGGACCAACTGGGCTCCCTCCCTCCGGTGACAAAGTGCCTCTGTCCCCAGGCTGCCTCGGTTGCTAAGCAGCAGTGTGATTCAGGCCAAATTATCAAACCTTTTCAGCCTCCACTCCCTCCCTCATGGAATGGAGCCAGGAACCCTCCGCAGTACACAGCGATGTTGAGGCTGGAAGAGGACAGCACGAGGCTGGTGGCACTGGTCGGGTTCTTCCCGCTTCCCAGGCCCGCTCCGAGAGCCCGGAGGTCTCGGCTGCGCATGCTCACCATCCACGTTCGCCGTTGCAAGGGCAACAAGTGTGCGTCAGGCGACTGCGTGCCTTGACCTTGTCTCCCAGTGTTTAAGAAGATTGACATTTAATTCTCTGTAGTTATAGCCTTTGTCTTTCTGCGTTTAGCTATCCCTGTCATTTACTGTTTTGAATTTATCTGCAATCCGAATAAATGCATTCCAGATTCCTCCTCTCAGCACAGGCACGTGACCCATCGATCCATCCACTGATCAGATGCAGTGCTGGGGGTGGAGCCTGGGCAGGCTCCGCCTCTCGGCCACAGCCCCCTGCTTGTTGTCATTTGGGGCAGCGTCCCACTGAGCTGTCTCTGAGGATGTGTGGCCCTTCTGCGGCCGGCTGCTGAGTATCTGGGAGTGCAGGTGTGCGCGATGTTATTATAATAAAACATTACAGAGTAAGTTACACACACACACACACACACACACAAGGGCCCGTCGTAGATACTTCACTGTGAATTTTGAGAACTCTTACATAATAACTAGAGTGAAATTCCAAATCTGGAAATTAATGTATATACAAAGAATTATCCTCAGGATTTATTTAAATTTCATCTAGTGTCCCACTAATGGCCACGATAGCAAAAAAGAAAATGGTTTTTCAGTTTGAGGTTATGGTCCAGATCACATGTATTTTGTCTTTTATTTTTTTGGAGCACCATGAATTGAACCCAAAGCTTTTGTACTGGGCTATATTCCTTCCCTTTCCCTCCCTCCCTCTTTCCCTCTCTCTTTTTCTCTTCCTCCCTCCCCGCTTTCTTTCAACAGGATCTTGCTAAGTTGCCTAGGCT